CTGGGATTGGGATTTGGGGAAGTTCTGGGATTTTGGGGGGGTTCTGGGATTGGGATTTGGGGGATTCTTGGATTTTGGGGCTCCTGGGATGGGGGGGTGGGGAAGTTCTGGGTTTTTGGGGAGTTTGGGATTTTGTGGAGGTCAGGGGGGCTGGAATTTTTGGGACCTCTGGGAATTGGGGTTTTGGGGAGGGGGTTCTGGAAGTTTGGGGATCCCGGGATTTTTGGGATTCGGGGTGGGGGTCCCGGACTGAGGAATTTGGGGGATCTCGGAGCTTTTTGGGGGTTCTGGGATTTTTTGGTGGGGGGAGATCCCAAATCTTGTAGGGAATCCCCAGAATTTGGGGAGGAGTGGGGATGGGAATTTTTTTTTGGGGTTTTTTTGGGGAGCTCCTTTTTAAACACCCCCCATCCCTCAATTCACAGATTTGGGGGGTCCCGGCTGCAGAGCACGCAGGAGGCGCAGGTAGGGACCCCAAAAGCCCCCAAATCCTTCCCAAATCCTTCCCAAATCCCCAAAATCGGATCCCAAAACAATCGCAGGGCCCCGCCCCTCCCTCGCGCTCGTGACGTCAGAACTGGGGCAAAGGTCGGGCGGTGGAAACTGGGGGAAAGGTCAAGGGCAGGGATTTGGGGGGGATTTGGGGGGGCTTTGGGGATATTTGGGGGCATGCTGAGGGGATTTGGGGGGGGTTTGGAGGGTCCTGGAGGGGATTTTGGGGATCCTAAATGGGATTTGAGGCGTCCTGAGGGGGATTTGGGGCAATTTTGGGGTCCTGGAGGAGATTTTGGGGATATTTGGGGTCATCATGAGGGGATTTGGGGGAATTTTGGAGGGTCCTGGAGGGGATTTTGGGGGTCCTAAATGGGATTTGAGGGGTCCTGAGGGGGATTTGGGAGAATTTTGGGGTCTGGGAGAAGATTTTGGGGATATTTGGGGGCGTCATGCGGGGATTTGGAGGAATTTTGGGGTCCTGGAGGGGATTTTGGGGGTCCTGAGGGGGATTTGGGGGAATTTTGGGGTCCTGGAGGGGATTTAAGAGGTCCTGAAGGGGATTTGGGGAAATTTTGGGGATCCTGAGGGGGATTTGGGGGAATTTCTGGGGTCCTGGAAGGGATGTTTGGGTTATTTGGGGGTCCTGGAGGGAATTTTGGGGATCCTGGAGGGGATTTGGGGATCCTGGGGG